TCGTATAGCCTTGCTTTCTCTAAAGGCATTTTCCTAAATCGTGTCGATAGAACACCTGTGTTTGCCACTAATTTTGACTGCATTACTTACATTTACTGAGCCACAGCTACTGGCACCCTTGTCTGGAGGAGTAACATGCTAACAAGATTCTCACGACCCGGTCTGGAATCCTGTTGGGGATGCTGAAACCTAGGCGAGGTCGGAAACGCAGTCCACCCTTGGTGAAACATTTTGGAAGCCGAGTAAACTTCACTGGCGTCTTGATGCCTACTCATATAATAGTGACAAACCTCCACTATCAGTCATTAAGTATAGTGATTAAGTTCTTACTCGAGACCTAATAATGGCTTCGAAATCCACTCATACGAAATTTAAAATCATAAATTACTGTACATATAAGCTACTACAGTTAATTCGCATAATCGTAAAGTAGATTCTTCGATTTCCATGCTGATGAGAAAATCCCAGATCTTAGGTCGAGTCACCTAAGTAATGTACGAAACTTACTTTCCGAACTAGGAACTCGCTTCGTCTATGAACGAAGTTCTTGCGACGATCCGATGCATTACCATTTGCAAATTTCCGATACAGATATTCGGACAGGGTTTGTCGCTTCAATTTCGAAAGTAATTGAGTCCATGCATTGATTATCCCTATAAATCATGACGATGGTGCTCCTGGCTGATGTCAAAACATCTTTAGTTTGTGATAAATGAACATCAGATGCAATTTGGATCAAGCAGTAGTTCTCTTATAACGAATATTACTGCATGTATGGGGCAAGCTTGCAAACTGCTTTAGCGAGCGGACAGAGAATAGTAAGCGACTTGCGCTAGGAGGAGTATAAGGGCTCCTTAACTAAATTACGGGTTGTGGGTGGAGATCCCCCGTCAGGGCTTATTGTAGCTTTACCCGGTTTTTGGGGAAAACTATGCTGGAAGGCTGTCCTACCAATATGAATTGGTTCAAAGGCGGGGCAAGAGGAGCTCAATCGCTAGTTCGATCCTCGACTATGACGAGATTGCTAATCAACAAAACGAGTATAAACCAAGCCTGATAATTAGGGCTAAACTGTATAATGAATGGGCTCAACATCTGGGACACGAAGCCTGGGATACAGGCTTGATATATGACCCAATGCAAGTTTAATGGCTCAACTTTAGTTTTGAGGGAAAGTTGGTTATAGGGGATTCGTGCATTGGCACCCCCTTGAAACCTTAGAGTGGAAAAGGTCAGATTGTGCGAATAAGTGCTCGGCTCGCCTACCTGTGACCTATAAATCTATGCTGAGCGTTCTTCTATTGTGTGACAACATCAGTTACGAAAAAACGCTCCAGATACACTGTACCAAAGAACAGAATGGCCGGCTGTAATTATAGTCACATTTTATACTTGACTATTCTTGGCCTAGTCAATTTTGTGCGTTTATTCGTGAATGATTGCTTTTCCTTTTGACGATGCTTGCCACGGGACAGACGAACACTCAGCAAGGATTCATCGGTATCGCAGAACAGCGAGCCGAGGACTTTTTCGCACAATATGCCGCTCCCCAGTCCTCTCGATTTCAGGCGAAGCCAACTTTTCCGTCAGTGAAAAATCAAGTCATATTGAATCCCTAAAGAATTCCTTGAAATCCAGCTTATATTCAAATATACAGAATACAATTAAATAAGATATATTTAGCCTATTTCGTTTAAGGTGATGAAGGAGGGGTAGTAGAATTTTTCAACAATTATATTAGTAGAACTGATATTTCCATTGAATCTCACATAGCCTTGCTTTCCCAAAAGTTGTTCCTTGAAATTCACATCTGCCCTGTGACCCAAGAGCACTCGTGGCAATCTGACTGAGTGGTTAACGTGTCAAGCTCACATGCTGCATTATCACGATTCGACTCAAGCTGGAGGTGTTGATACGACCTAGGCGAGGTCGAAACTGCAGTCCACCCTGGATTAGAACAAATTTTGGGAAAGCGAAATTCAATGGAAACGTCAGCTACACTCATATCAGTGGGAAAATTCCACTAGCACTCCTTCATCACCGTAAACGAAATAGGGTGAAGACATCTCATTTAACTTATTTACTGGTGGTCTCGAAACTCTGCTTATATAGGAAACAAAATACAAATTTGTCCTATCGACGATCCCGATGTAAATGTGATCTAGTATTGGTTTGGAATTTCTTAAAATCCGCGTATTCTTTGTGGTCCATCGGCCCTATTGGCAGTGTGGCGTAGTGATACCATGTCGAACTTATAGGCTGCATAACCCAGGCAAGGGTTGAACGGCAATCCACTCTGGATAAAAATACCTTTTGAAAGGCAAAATTGAGCTTTCAAATCTCATTCACCTAGGGAGACTAGAAGCCTTATTCCGATTTGTAATGGCAATCCTACTAAAAATCTGTGGTAGCTGCTTGAACGTCCTTGAAATTATTGATTACTCTGTGACCCAGGGGCATTCATGGTAGTGTGGCGCGGTGGTAACGATTTGAAATAATACGCTTCACCGCCTGGTTGTATTCCTAATGGGGATGTAGATCACACCTAGGCTAGGCCGAAACTTGAGCTATATCTGAATGATAATACTTTTCGGGAAGCAATGGTTCAGGGAAATTCAATAGAAACGTGGGAGCTACTTATATCATTATGGGAAAATTAAACTCAGCCCCTTATAACTAGAGTGATTGTAATTCTAATAGAAAGATTGCCGGCTAGCAGATAGTCTAACATCTGAAAACTCCCTTTAGTTTATTTGAGTTCACCGGGATTCATTTTGTCTTAAAAATGGTGTACACATCCCTCAGCCTTTAATGGATGAGGCCACTCGAGATACAATCACCGTATTTGTTTATAGTAGTGGCATCCTCATTACGAGCAATTCCATTTTTTAACATAGACAACAGTTGACAGGCCAACACATCCTCATTTGGTGTTCAAGAGAGTTTTCTGTTGCTCTATAATATATTCCTCCTGTTATTATATCAGTATGTATGGAAAACTGTTAAGCCAAAGACAATGCAAGGAATCAGCAATTTATCCCCTATGAAGCTCAGGCCCTTACGTCCTTATCTCAGCATGTCAAATTTTTGCTATCTTTTTAATTTAAGTTTTTTAAATACCCTGAATCAATTGGGGGGTATTTAAAACCAAAACAAACAGACGGTATCATCGTCACAACAAAATTCAAGCTAACGTGTCAAGAAAGCTTGCTCCGATGAGGTTCGTCATATGACGTACGAAAGCTTGGCACCCTTTCACCGAAATCGAAGGAGATTACCTCGGAAACAGCGTCAGCATGAATCTTCCAGTAAAGCCAATCGACAGCTGGTCAAGCGGAATCCGTCACTGGTCGTCTTCTGGTGGAACCGACATTCGAATCTCTTCACGCAACACTTTCACTCGAACTCCGTCGCTGGTCGTCTTCTGGTGGAACCGACCTTCGAATCTCTTCACCCAACACTTCCACTCGAAATGGAACGCCGTGTCTTCTGATGGAACCGACCTTCGAATCTCTTCACCCAACATTTCTACTCGAAATGGAAGTAATCCCAACATTCTTCTGGTGGAACCGACCTTCGAATCTCTTCACCCAACACTTTCACTCGGAATGGAAGTAAGCTCAACAATTATAGCGTCAGCATGAATCTTCCAGTAAAGCCAATCGACAGCTGGTCAAGAGGAATCCGCCGTCGTCTTCTGGAAACTTCGAATCTCTTCACCCAAACTTTCACTCTAAATGGAAGTAAGCTCATCAATTATGAAACAAGAGATTCCTCGAAACCCAACTTTTCTCCCTTCGAATCTCTTCACCCAACACTTCCACTCAAAATGAAAGTAAGCTCAACAATTATGAAACAAGCGATTTCTCGGAAATAGCGTCACCGTGAATGTTCCAGTAAAGCCAATCGACAGCTGGTCAAGAGGAATTCGCCGTCGTCTTCTGGTGGAACCGACATTCGAATCTCTTCACCCAACACGTTCACTCGAAATGGAAGTAAGCTCAACAATTATGAAACAAGAGAATTCTCGAAACCCAACTTTTCTTCGCATATCCCTTAAGACGATCGGCTCTCATAATCACCATTATCCTGGATGTAAAGTCCACATCCTAATATGCGCCAAAATCTTATACTCCGATCCTTCACTCTTCTGAATCTGCAATGGTATAATTCAGTCAGATATCCGGGCAAGGAGGACCGCGCTCAGCCAGTGCCGACGCCCCAGACAAAGTCTTCCAATGGCCGTTCCGTTGCCTTCGTATTGACAGGACTTAATTTGCTTGGTAGAAGCAATGCAACTTTGAGGCAGGGCTGACTTTCAAGTCAACTCCATTTATCTGGTTGTTTGACCTTGTTTTCGCAACATGGTGATATTGGTAGGAAGACTCATTGGAACGCACCTTGTCCGGGGTCCATTGTCTGCATGATCATTTCCAAAGT